CGACTATAACTCTCTTACTTGTTTTAATTTGATTTGTTAACAGTTTTTAAAATATTTATTTTTAGAGCATATTTTGTACAAGTTAAGAGCATATTTTTCAGTTTCATATTAAATAACACTTTTTTCCCTCGTTATAACTGATCTTAGTATAAGCGTATAAAAGCATGGTAAAAAACATTCAGAAAAAAAATAATTTACCATGTTCATTTAGTGACTACTGTTTTGTATATTAAAATACTGCTTAAATTCATAATAAATATATTTTAATAAATAAATATATTTTAGCAAACAAAAAAATCGCATAAATTTGCCATTGATGGCAACTTATTAATGTAAAGTATGTAGAAAATATTTGTTAACAATACATTGTTGCTATTTATTTTAATTTAGTTGTTTTTATGTTACAGAAAAGGTGTAGTTAAGACTTGATCATATTTTATGATTTGAATAGGCATTAGTTTGTTGGTCTACTTTTGTGGTGTTAAATTATTTGTCATAATATTAAAATCTGCATTTGTTTGTTGTATAATTGGCGCCACGCTGATCGTATTAATATACGTTAATTTTTCGTTTATATTTAAAAACTATAGAGTAGAGGCATTCCTACTATGGAACTTTTCACTAAAGGTATAGTGTGATGGAAAAATGTGTAGGTTGCTTGTATTGTTAACTTAGATAAAAACAATTTTTTTGGCAAATCGTTAAGTTTCAGCTTTCAGACATTATTTTAATTTGTGTTAGACATATTTTTATAGCATATTTTATTAAAATGCTTTTTTACAAGCTTTCGTTTAACATCCCAGTAAAAACTGGGTAATGGCTTTCAATTGTAATTACTTACCTATCAATATACTTTTCAATGACTACTACATATCGTTTGGATTACATAGAAGTTGTCTGATAATGTCTTACTATTAATGTGTTATATAACTAATTTATAATTCACTAGTAATCTTGCCAGTAATGATAAAATGCTATTGTGTAAGTGAATTTTAGCATTTTAATCACTTACATGGTAATGAAAGTTTTTACTGGGATGCTTTAATATTTATTTTCAAAACAAAATATTTTTGTTAAATATTTAAACCGTGAATAGTATTATGAACCGATTGTCGTTAAATTTTATAGAATGGTTTCGGTTTGTATAATACTTATTTGTTTCGATTTTCATCGCTCTACTAGCATTTTCGATTCAGTCATAAGCGTAAGAGTCTTATTTGGTAGGGGACCTTATTTTTGGGTAGGATCAATAATAACCGCTCATAAAACTTTTTACATGGATATTGATTTGTATAGAACTTGTGCATGTCGAATTTCATCGCTATACTCGTATTTTAAAATAAAGAATAAGCATAACCCTTTCCTAACGGAACCTTATAAAGGCGCTAGGGTCAGTTATAGATCAATCCTCATTAAATTCGGAATGCAGAATTATGTTTCTAAGTATATACTTATTTACATCAATTATCATCGCTAACTCGTAATTTGTTGAATCCTCATCAAACTAACTGAGAAGGATCTTATATTATGTGTAGGGTTAATTATTTACCGATACTCATAACTCATAATACTCGTATTTTTAGATGGGGGGTAGGTTCAGTTATGGACCGATGCTCAGAAAAATTTTTAAAGAGATTTTGGTTCGTAAGAAACTTATTTATGTCGAATTTCATCGCTATACTCGTACTTTTAAGTTACTAATAAACGTTAAAGTAATTTTCTAAAGGAGACCTTGTTGGATGCTAGGGTCAATTGTGCAAACTTTTGGTACATATATTTTGGCTCTAACAAAACTTACTTGTGTGGAATTTCAGTAATGAACGTTAAAGTAATTTTCTGAAAGGGGCCTTATATTGGGGATAGGGAAATTTATAGGCCGATCCTCCAAAAAATTGGTAGAGAGATTTTGGCTCGCATAAAACTGATGAGTGTCGAATTTCATCACAATATTCGTAATTTTATGCCAGTAATGAGCGTCATTTTCTGAAGGGGACCTTATATGGATCGATCCGCATAAAATTTGGTAGAGAAATTTTGACTCATATAAAACTTATTTATGTCGAATTTCATCAGTAAAGCTGTTTTTCGGGGTTCCATTTATATGGGGGCTATCCGAAAACATGGGCCGATATTGCCTATTTTAATATCAAACAAACCTTATCAATAAAGAATATTTATGCAAAATTTCAACTATCTAGCTCATCCCGTGTGTTCCCTATCGTGATTTCAACAGACAGACGGACAGACATGACTAGATCGTCTTAGAATTTAATAAGGACCCATAATAAATATACTTTTGTGGGTCTATGACCAATATTTCGATGTAGTACAAACGGAATGACAAAAACAATATACCTTTCATCTTTTTTGATGGTGGGTATAAAAATATTCTTTGGAGACCAGTGAAATTAAGGGTCATACTGGATATTGTCATGGTTTAAAATGTATAACTGCTCTTTAGCAAAAATATGCTGAAATTTGGCATTCGAAAATTCTTAGTTATTTGAGAATAAATTTTTAACGAATATTAATATGTTGTAAAGTTATGGATTTATAATTCAAGAATAATAGTACATACCGATGAATACTGGCAGATTGTGTGTAGCGTTTGGTAATGGGAATTCATTGATATTATTATGAGAGTATAATTTTATTTTAAATATTTGTATATAGTTATTACAATTACAAAATTTTCTAAGTGGTTTTCATACAAAATTGTAAAGAAAAATTTCCATCCGAGTTACAAACTAGCAAAAATACAAAAAAAGAAACCTATTATCGAGCTGATGCTTATTATATAAAATTATATATCGTAAGACGAAATTTATATCCTTAGTTACAAACAATGCAATTCGAATCAAAAAGATGCTGCAATGTTTACAATTTATTGTTCCCCCATTACTATTACTTTAGTGGGGAAGGTATTTTGGGTTTGTGCTGATATATGGAAGCTAAAATATTGGTTCTATGTTTTAAAGTATTGATTTAGCGATGTTCGTCCATGTAATCTTTTAATCAATCTACAGGTCGAAATTTTAAAGATGCATAATTCGATGAAATTTAAGACATACATTTTTTTGACCTAAGGACAAAACCTTCGGTCCATTATTTCACCTAGCCCTTCGAATAGGGCTTTGGAGGTCATACTTATTTTAAATGTTGTCGTAAATCTACAAAATGGGCACAATTTAGTTTTATGTAAGCCTACTGACAATTTTTGTAATGTTCAGACTTCATTTGACCTTAGCCCCTATCCAAATATGGGAACATCTGTAATTTCCATTTTGGGTCACCCTCAAGTAAATACATATGGGGAATTTCGTGTAAAGTGACCCAACATGACACAAGGTTAGTACTATGGGATAGTAGGCCAGACACAAATTTTCAGCTCTATCGGTCAAGAACTGCCGGACTTAGAGGGGGTCAAAATTGGACATTACGGTCATACAGGGTTTTATTCAAATGAGTGTAACTTTTCACCTATTGGTCCTAACAAAATTTGCCCAAAGGAGTTCAGATATCATTTTTCCTGCAATCTTTTTGAAATGGATGTCAAGAATTCCATAATTTTGAGTTTGTCGCTGGAAAAATATTTACAATTTTTGTTAGAGTATTTCTGGGCATATAAATTTCAAAATAATCTAAAAATTCTTAAATGGACCCAACCAAATGCCTAACTATTTTTTAAATATTTTCCAGTATAAGCTACATATAACAATATCATCTTCATTTATTTCAGTGTGGCTATATGCTTGAATGTGTATAAAAATTAACTAAAAATAATTTAAAGGAATACAAAAATTCGACATTGCTCATGTAGTTAAATAGGTTAAGACCATCAATAACAGAGTAATAATAATCTGTATCATTTACTGCAATTCAAATAGGATCTAAACTTCTACACCCTCATATTTTTCAAAACCTGAAAAGAAAAAAAAAAAAAATAACTTAAGTAAATTTCAACAAAACAAAAATAAACAACTGATTAACATAATTAAGTAATAATTCCAAAACATTAATATTTATTTAAATATATCATTTTAAAACTGTAATATCACCACCCAAAAAACGGAAGCTTAACAAGCACAACGCCAAAAAATCTGGAAAAGAAACTTGTTTTTTATTGTTAACGCTTTAACCAAAATACTATCAATCAGTTAAGTTTACTCGCAGTTTAGTTTAGTTTTTAGCCCTAACATGCATACAAACATTTTACCTTCCTATGTATATAAACAAATTGACCTAAAGAAATAGATTAAAATAATATGCAAATGATCTTTCTTTTATTGGGCATCTTCAGCATTATTAACAAACTAGCTAGCGTCATAGTTATTTATACGTATTCAAATAGGGATATGGGAATTTGTAATAAAACCTAATGTTTGTTATGATTTTGTTTTTTTTTTATAGTTTTAGTTTATTTCGCATATAAAAAAGAAATAAAACTAAATATTTATTCAAGGTGACAGAAAAGCGAACAAAAAACTATGTTAACTGGTATATTTGTGGTCATCCGTGGATAACAATAGGAGAATGTCTGCTGCCACTACTACTAAAAGAAAGAAAATAAAAACAAAACGAAATCTGTATTTAATTTATGCATAGTATTTCATTGGGGAGATTTTGTTAGATAATATGTGTATAAAATTTTTTTTGTGAAAGAAAAAAAAAAAAAAATGCAGTTTAAATTCCGAAAAAAATAATCGTAATATTATAAAATTATTAATGGGAGACAAGTTTTGCCTAAATATTTGTGAGTGCGTTTGTTCGTTTGTTTATGTATTTTGGAATATAAAATAAAGTTTTGCAATTCTCACAAAATGATTTGAAAATGGTTACATCAACATTATTGGTCATTATCATATACATTTGGAAGTTTAGTGATGATTTTTGAGGTAGATCAGTTACAGTGATGCTGTTAGTAGAGTAGTTGTTGTTATATGATGGAAAGAAATTGAAATCATATAAAAGTACTAGGAAGGTTTGGAAATGGCATCAGTTCAACATTTCATTTCATTTAATCAACAAGTTGAGGAATAACAAAACAACCAAAATGAATACATTTTTAACAATTATGGTAAGTGTGGCATGTAATAGATAAACAAAAAGAACTTTTAAGAATTTTATATTTTCCTTTATCTTATTCTCCTTAGTGTTTTGCTTTGGTAGCAACTGCCACGGCCAAGCCTGGCTACAACTATCAACAACCAAAACCAGTTGTTAAACAATCATTCCGTCCATCAGCCCCAGTTAGTAACAGTGGCATATATTCTGTACAACAGGCTCCCCCATTGACCTCATTCAATGTTCAATCTCAAAGCCAACAAATCAAGCAAAACTTTGTTGCCACCGCACCTGGTCCAGTATCAGCTCCTCAATACGCTCCTCAGCCTATTGATGTACCCGCTCCACCAGCTCCATATGTTCAACAACAATTTGCTACTCCCGCCCAATTGTACACCCCCAACTGCTCCACAATATGTCGGCCCAGCTCCCCAATATGTTGCTCCAGTACAACAACCTTCTGTTTATGCTCCTTCGGCTCCTGCTGCTTCCTCATCTCATTACAATTATCAACCTCAACAACAAACCATTGTCTCCAAGGATATTTACATTCACTCTGCTCCTGAGGAAACCGAAGAAATTGGAGGCGATATAGGTGCTGAAGCTGGTCCTATTCGCAAGAACTACCGCATTGTGTTCATCAAGGCCCCAAGCCAAAACTTGAAACTCAATTTGGATGCTCTCAAACGTGCTCAAGCTTCCAACGAAGAAAAGACTGTCATCTATGTATTGTCTAAGAAACCCGACCTTGCCAACATCCAAAATCAATTGTCTGCTGTACAAACCGAACAAAAGGCCCACAAACCCGAGGTTTACTTCATCAAGTATAAGACTCAAGAAGAAGCCAACCGTGCTCAACAAGAAATCCAAGCCCAATACGATGCTTTGGGTGGTTCAACACACATTTCCGATGAAGGTATTGCTCCCGTTACTTCTGTCATTGGCGGTGGTCCCGTTAACGTTGGCTCTGTTGGCCCTGTTTTTGGTAGTGGCTCAAGCAATGTTCCCGTATTCTCTAGTGGTTCAGCCAATGGTGGTTCCTTCGGCGGCAGTTCAAACTTTGTTCAATCTGCTAGCAACAACCAACAAACATTCGTGCAACAATCATTCCAAGGTAGCCAAGGTTCCTCATCCACTGTTAGCTTTGGCGTTGAAGCACCCAACAACAAGTACTTGCCTGCTCAAAAGAAATAAGTTGGCATTTCACTTTTTTCACTAGATAGTGCCATTAGTTACTAATTTTTTCCTCAACTCTTCTTTCAACTATTCTTGAAATTGTACCTTTTTCTTGTTTTTCACATTTATTATCTATCAACTACTTATTTCCTGTAAATATATATAGATATAATTAATTTATTCAAATTAAAATAAAACAAAAATTATTAAAAACATATGTATGTAACGAAGTTTTTATTAACACTATTTAAACGTGTAATATTAGAGAGCTCCAATAAATATGTTGCCAAATTTTCACGTCCTCTTTGTTCTTTGGGTTGTATAACTAAAATATGCAGCCTGAAACATTAACAAGTGCCGTTTAATTTTATTGTAAAGGATTAGTATGTAGACATAATAAGTGTTTCAAAATTTATAAAACACAAAAATGGTTGAAGACTTTTTTTGCATGACATAGTTTTACAACCCAAAGTACAATTTTAGAGGTGTGCAGCCAGTAGGACAACTTTTTTCTAGCTTGGAGCATTCTAGTGTGACATGTTACAATTTAAAAGTTTTTCTTTAAAGTTTTGAAGATCTTTTGCTTTTTGTATAGTGAAAAAAGTTTTAGCTTTAATATACGGTGAAAGTAAGAAAAATTTTAGTTTTGGGTTATAAATTATAAATAATAAAGATACGTTAAGTGATATGAGGTGATTAAAATTAGCGATAAATTCGGAGGATTTAGAATGTTATGCCCAATGAGAGGAAATACATGGAAATATACATCCCAATAAACCAAAGAACGATATGATAGCGAAAACGGTATTGCTTTTAAAGGGCGATTATGATATCATATTTCATTATTTAAAACGATATTATTATAATATCGTTTTATATTATTTTGTTTCCAATAAAAAAATTAAGAAAATACAAACATTTGAAAAAAACTTCAAACATAAAAATAATTTCAATAAAAATTTTCGAACATAAGAAAACTAACAAGTAAGAGTGTTATATTCGGCTGTGCCGAATCTTGTATACCCACCATCAAAACATTGCCGAAAAGCAGTGCTTGCTTATAAATAAACTTTGATATTTAAGAATCGATGCTTTTGTTATTATCAAAACAATTTTCTCATTCATTACATCTATGTATAATTTTACCATCATACATATTATGTATATCGATAGGATTAATTATGGACTGATCCTCCTAAAATTTGGTAGAAAAATTTGTAACAAATTTTGTCGCTGTACTTGTATTTTTAAGGTAGTATAAAGCGTTAAAGTCATTTTCTGAGAGGGACCTTATTAGGGAGGGGAGGTTTGGTCAATTATGGACCGATCCTCGTCAAATTTTCTAGAACGATTTTAGCTAGTAATGAGCGTTAAAGCCATTTGTGAAGGGGACCTTATATGGGGGGTAGGGTCAATTATGAACCGATCCTTATAAAATTTTACAAAGCGATTTAGGTTCCTATAAAATATGTTCATGTTGAATTTCATCGCTATAGATGCTTCTTTTGGACAGTTATGATCGTTAAAGTAATTTCCGAAGGGGACCTTATATGGGGGATAGGGTGAATTATGGACCGATCCTTATAAAATTTTTCTATGATATTAAGGTTCCTTAAAATATGTTCATGTCAAATTTCATCGGTATGGATGTTTCTTTAAGGCTGTTATGAGCTTTAAAGTAATTTTCCGAAGGGGATCTTATATGGGGGGTAGGGTCAATTATGGACCGATCCTTATAAACATTTACAAAGCGATTTAGGTTTCCATAAAATAGGTTCATGTCGAATTTCATTGCTATAGATGCTTCTTTTAGAGAGTTATGAGCGTTAAAGTCATTTTCTGAAGGGGACCTTATATGGGGGGTAGGGTCAATTATGGACCGATCCTTATAAAAATTTACAAAGCGATTTAGGTTTCCTTAAAATAGGTTCATGTCGAATTTCATTGCTATAGATGCTTCTTTTAGAGAGTTATTTTTGAAAAGTTTCAGGTATTTGCAAGACAATGCGTAATGTGATGAAAAATATGATTACATTAAAATATGTATTAATGTATGTATGTAAATATGTACAAATGAATGCAATCCTTCCCTTTTCAGGCTTTTTTATATGTATAATAGCGAAATATTAAGTTAAATAGCGTTTTGAATGAAATTTTAAGAATAAAAGAGCATACAGAAAAAAACTGAAAAAGGCGATTTAACTATCATTATTTTTGGAAATTATGATAGCGAAAACGATATCATAATTTTATGGAAAAACGATATCATAAGGAAAGGTACCATTTAGTACGTAAATACTATCGTTCTCGATACGAGAACGACTATCACTTATGATATTTTTTATCACCTAAGTGATATCGTTTTGATATCGTTATAATATCGTTTGGTTTATTGGGATATTTCACTTTTTTGTTGCAATACCTTTCAAACGATGAATATTGATGTACTAAATACCAGAAAATACGAAATATTTTTCCCCCATTCGTAAAAACGAAAAATTCGTTAAACGGAATAAACATTTTTCTATGATTTAATGCTAAAAATATGGTAATGGAAGTTAGGAAGTTTATTATACCCTACACCACTTTAGTGGGGAGGGTATATTGGGTTTGTGCTGATGTTTGTAACGCACAATAATATTGGTACAGTACCCACCTTAAAGTATACCAATCGGCTTAGAATAATTTTCTGAGTCTGAGCTATGTCCGTCTGTCTGTCTGTCTGTCCATGTAAACTAAACTACAGGTCGCAATTTTGAAGATACTTCAATGAAATTTGGTACATGATCTTCTATTGTCCCTGCGACGAAGCCCATTGAAAATGGTTAACATCGGCTTATTATTTCACCTAGCTTCCATACAACTGAACCCCCGAATGGGGCTTGTAAACCTTTTAATCAAACTACAGGTCGCAATTTTGGAGATAATTTAATTTTGGATGATAATTCAATTTGGCACATGATCTTGTATGATACCGAAGACGAAGCCTATTGAAAATGGTTAACATCGGCCATTATTTCACCTAGCCCCCATACAACTGAACCCGCCGAATACGCCTTTTAAGTTCATAATTATGTTTAATATACTCCTATCTAGACATAAAGCTGTAAAACCAAGTTCTTTACTAGCCTTAATGACCCTCATGGATTTTATAATTATAGGGCCCCTATAAAAAGCCTCCTTCAAAATTTGACTTAAATGTCCACAATTTTATTCAACAATAAATGGCTTAAGTATATCTGAGGCAAGGTACAATTTAATTTAAATGCTTTATTATTTAAACTAAATCACATAACAGGTGTAGGGTATTATATGGTCGGCCTCGCCCGACTATAATTTCTTACTTGTTTTTTATATCCGCTTAAATGCGTTCATATAGATTGTGACCATTTCTATGCATTTTTTCTGCAGTGTGCAAAATATAGAAACATTTTTCGTTAAAATTAGAATCAAAGCAAAATTAACAAGTAAGAGTGTTATATTCGGCTATGCCGAATCTTATATACCCACCATCAAACCACGTTTGACTCGAATGAAACTTACTTATGTCGAATTTCATCTATATACTCGTATATTTAGGCCAGTTATAAGCGTTAAAGTAATTTTCTGAAGGGGACCTTACATAGGGGGGTAGGGTCAATTATGGGTCGATCCTCATAAAATTTGGTAGACTGAATTTGGTTCGTATTAAATTGATTTGTGTCGAATTTCATCGCTACACTCGTATTTTAAACCATTAATGAGCGTTGCAGTCATTTTCTGAAGGGGACCTTATATGGGGGGTAGGGTCAATCATGGACCGATCCTCATAAAATTTTTTAGATAGATTTTGACTTGTATGAACTTACTTATGTCGAATTTCATCTATATACTAGTATTTTTAAACCAGTAATGAGCGTTAAAGTCATTTTCTGAAGGAGACCTTATATGGGGGGGTAGGGTCAGTTATGAACCGATACTCATAAAATTTTGCATAGTGATTTTGGATCATAAGAACTTACTTATGTCGAATTTCATCGCTATATTCGTATTTTAAACAAGTTATGGCTGTTAAAGCTGCTTTTCGAGGGGCCACTTGTATGGGGGCTATCCGAAAACGTGAACCAATATTGCCCATTTTCAATACCAAACAAACCTTACCTATAAGAAATATTTATGTGAAATTTCAACCCTCTAGCACTTTCCATTCGGGCTCTATCGTGCTTTCAACAGACAGACAGACGGACGGACAGACGGACAGACATGGCTAGATCGTCTTAGAATTTAATGAGGACTCAGAATATATATACTTTTGTGGGTCTTTGACCAATATTTCTATGTGTTACAAACGGAATGATAAAATCAATATACCCCCCTTCTTTTTTGATGGTGGGTATAAAAATTTTAAGAAAGAAATTTATTAAAGTTAGATAAATAGATTTTATTCACATGTATAAAATTCTGAATATTTTAGAGTAATTTTGTTGACAAACAATTTCATTTCACTCAGTATTTTGAAAATAATTACAATATTCCTTTAAAGATTTTTATATTAATTAAAGATTTTTACTTTAAAATTTATATCTTCTTTTGAAAATCTTAATATAAACATAAAATTCTTAGCAACAAAATGTAAAATTGCAGTAGGAAGGAAGAAAAAAATTTCATATTAAAACGGATTTATTATTTCGGGCAGTAGCAAACGCTGCTTGGAAGCAAGCACCCTCACGCTGGAAATTAGTTCTAAAAAACTTTCGCGAGTCCGACAAGTCCTTCCAAAATGAAAAAAGTTGTGTTATATATGTAAGTCATCTTAATTGTAGACAATGGGTTAATAACCACCAAAGGGTTAATTTTCGCTTAAATTTATTCTAATACAAGAAATCACAATAACAAAAAAATTTACCGTTTTGTATAAGCATGCACGAAAAATTTAAATTTTTTATGAAATTTTCAGAAGTGGTCTCGGATTTTTACTCATATCTTCGTTATTTATTGGCCGATTGGGCTGATTTTAAAGAGCGTTCTATTCGATCGTATTTCCGATAGAACATACACACAGACAGACAGACAAACGGACATGGC